AGGAGAGCGACTTGGTGCTGGACCGGACCACCTTGGTCTCCGGCACCAGCCCCGCGGCCTCGAAGTGGCCCCCCAGGTCGTCCTCGATGTAGTCCTTGTAGTGGGGCTCGTTCATCTCCTGGAAGTTCCCCAGCGCCCCGTCCAGGGCCGGCCGGTCGCCCTTCTGGATCGAGTCGGTAAAGACGACGGTCCCCCCGGGGGCGACCACCCGGGCCATCTCGGCGGCGGCGGCGGCTCGGACCTCCCGGGGCAGCTCGTGGAAGAGGTAGACGCAGACCACCGCGTCGAAGGAGCCGTCGGGGAAGGGGAGGTCCTCCGCCCTGGCCTGGACCAGGGTGGAGGGCTGGATCATAGCCCCGCTCCCGGACGAGCGCCGCTGCTTCTGGTCTTCCTCGGCCCTTCGGGTCCGGACCCAGTAGTCGTCGTTGTCCGCGGCCTTTTGCAGGTAAAAGGGGGAGAGATCCACCCCGGTGCACTCCGTGTCCAGRGGCAGGTTGTCCCGCACAAAAGTCAGGAAGCGGCCCGTTCCGCAGGCCACCTCCAGGACCCGCAGGGGCCCCCCGGAAGCCCCCGCACCGGCCGGGGGGAGCCGCTTCGACAGCTCCACCAACGGGGGCAGGCTCGTGCGCTGCATCGAGTCCTGCCGCCCCAGAAAGAGGGTCTCGGTCGAGGTCTCGTAGACGCTGGCCGAGTCCGACGACATCCATCCTGTGCGGGGGTTCGAGCGAGCGGTTGCGCGAAACAAACGAAAACAGGGGGAAGCCGATGCACGGGTGCGAAGATTAGGCCAATATCTCTTTGCACGGAATCGGCACACACTACACTACACTACACTACACTGCATCGCATCGCATTGCACAACACAAAACACACAACACCGAACACTGCATCGTTCGTAGAAATATACTCACCGTCTCCCTGGTAATGAAACGCGGTTTGGTAATACTCGGGATAGATGTTGCTCGTGGCGGTTCCTCCTTCCTTGGAAGAGCCGCCGTTCTGGAAGAACCTCACCTCCTTGTCTCGATCGGTCCCCCGAGACCGACGCCCCAGCGTSCCGATGGACTCCCGGRCGAACCGATTCATTTGGTCCGCGACAAAGAGCGGGTTCGTCTGGCGGTGCYCAGGCGTCCTGGTGTCCCAGGGTTCCCTGTAGGCCCCYTTGGCGATCGAATCGAAATAGTCCTGCTCGTAGCACAGAAAGGCCTCGAGGATCAGGCGGGTCGCCAGGTCGTTGCCGATGCCCATGGGCAGGAACGATCCCTGGCTCCCGGTGTCTCCCCMAMCGGTGCCCCTTCCGCGCTTCGACAGCCGGTGGGCCGAGGTCCCCAGGATCGCGTTGGCGACGAAGAAGGCCGTCCGGGCGACGTGGCTGGCGAAATACGACGCCTGGGGGGACGGTGAAAAGGGGAACAGCCCCGGGCCGCTCGGCCTCGCCTCGTTCCAGAACCTGTTGGCGATGCGGCCGATTTCTTGCACGTTGTGCCGGGCGTCGTAGGTCCCGTTGCCGGCGCCGTGCTTTGGGTTCTGAAAGTCCCTCCACATGGCCACGGAGGGATGGCAKTCGAAGCGATCGTTTTCCTCGAGGCCGGGAAGGCCGGCAGATTCCGGCGCTGCAGCGGTCGTCGCGGCGTTTTGGTTTTGCGGCTCGTCGCCGGCCAGTGCAAAAGCGGCCGCGTTCTCGGCGTCCGCGGCGCCGGGGGCATCGGGGTTTGGTGCCGTGGCGTTCTTGTAGAAGAGTGCGGTGCTAGTGGCAGTAGCAACAGGGGAAGCTTTCGGTGTTGGGGGCACGGCCAGGAGACCTTCGACGACGGTCGTAGAGGCAGATGCAACAAGGATGGTGGCTGCCGCCAGGGGCCGAACCAGGAACGAGACCATTGTCGACCGAATCGGTTAATTCTCGCTGTTTGGGCAGCACAAACTTTTGCGTTTCGACTTCAATCTCCACGGGTTGTTGTTTGTGGCACTAGCACGCAGGGTACGGTACCGCACCAAGTCACGTGAGAGTTCTGGTTTTTCGTTTCCGCAGGTTGACGAAGAAGARGAAGAAGAAGGAATGAGATAGAGGCAGGTTTTGTCGGGKTCTGCCCACATCACATCAAGGTTCTCCGATGCTTACGAGAACATCATTTTCAAACGAAACAGCAGACGACATCACGAAGCGTTCTTCCCGTGACTTCGTACACAGAATGCTATGATTTTTTGTTTTTTGGTTCTGGCCTGCTGACTTGATGCCAACAACAAACACCTATTTTGTTCGACCTTGGCTTCTCGAAAATTCCGAAAAGATTTCTCCGACGGATGTCGAAGGATGGACGGAAGTCTAAATACTCCACGTGGAAGTAGTATGTCCTATCATCTTTTCGGTCTGGATTGGACCCGATCAAAATCGCAAAATGATGGGTTGCATACCGTACCGTACGTCCCTTACGGTATGATTTTTGGTTTTCGTTTTGAGTGATTGATGGGCGTGGTAATCGTTCGTACTCTGACGTACAGTAAAGTACGACAAGTTCTCTTTGAGACACGGTTTTCTACCTGAATTGTTTTTGGTTTCTGTCGCTGTTTCTGTTTCGTACTGGACACCGAAGTACCGTACGGCAAGGGAGTTCGATCCGAAGTTTGCATTCTGTCCATTTTGTAACGACAAAAGGAAAGCCACGGTACCCGATCGAATAGAATCAGAACCAAACCCAATCCATTTTGCAGCGGCTCGCTACACCAGCCGATTCATTCGAAACCGAGGACCAAAAAAGATGAGAAAGGCCCATTGCGATTGCGATAGCAGATATCCGGCATCACTTACAACAACGGGAGCGACGAAATCATCTACGAGAGCAGCATTATTTGGTAGGAGGCAGCAAAGGGTGTTCGCGGCGGCAATACTCATCATGTTTTCTGCGCTGACGACGGCAACGATGACGAAACGAGGGCTCGGACTCGTAGTAACCGTATCCGCGGCAAGAGAGGGGCGACGGACCACCTACGGATCGGCGAGGCGTTTCGGATCACGAACGCATGCATTCATAGCGACAGGAACCAGAGCAAGAACGCCGTCGAAAGAAACCCCGTCGTTTTCGTCCAGGCCCTTCCAACCGCACGCGCGACAAAGGCCGTTTTCGTCGCAATCGGTTGTTGCTTCCGAGGGTGGCGGGAACGACGACGGATTCTTTGCCGATCCCGAGGTGACCTTCGAATCGCTAGGGGTCCGGTCTCCCGTCTTGCTGGAGCGCCTCGAATCTCTCGGCCTGGCGCAGCCGACGCAGATACAGGCCAAGACCTATTCCAAAATCCTCGAACGGAACGAAGACTCCGCGCTGTGGGCCAACGACGTCACGATCGGCGCCGAAACCGGGAGCGGCAAGACCCTGGCCTACCTGCTGCCCCTGCTGGACGAGATCCTAGAGGAAAAGTCGCGGGGCAGCGGCGGCCTCCCCTCGTACGATTACGCCCGGGCCATCGTCCTGGTCCCCAACAAGGAGCTCGTCCAGCAGGTCCTGCGCATGGCGGTCCCCCTGTGCGGGGGGAGCATCGAGGAGGCGGTGGTCTGGGCCCAGGGGGGTCCCGGCCTCATGCAGCAGCTCGGTCCCCTGGCGGCCTCGSYCACCAAGGGCGCCACCGATCCCTCGGAGATTGTCCGCCTGGCGGTCATGCCGGGCGCCCTCAAGGAGCCAATGGACTTCAAACCCTTTCGGGATTCGATCGGCTTTGGCGGGGACAACCCGCCCGTGGACATTGTGGTGAGCACGCCCGCGGCGCTGGGCCCGCTGGGACTCCCCCCCAAGTTCATCGATCTCTTTGCGGACGTCAAGACGCTGGTGGTGGACGAGGCCGACATGCTCCTCGACGGGGGATACATCCGGGCGCTGGAAAACGTCCTGATCGGCTTTCGCCGGGCCGACAGGCTGGTCGATCCCAGCGCGGATCCCAGCGATCCGGGCACCATCCGAAAGACCCAGCACATCTTTTGCGCGGCCACCCTTCCGGACGTCGGGCTCAAGAGCGTCAACGCCTACCTGGARCGAAGGTTCCCGTACGCCAACCGCATCGAAACGGGCAACATGCACAACGCCAARCACTACGGCCTGTCCAAGGCCACCAAGTGGTACCAGGTCGAGACCAAGAAGGAACGAATGGAACGCCTGGCCGAGTTGCTGGTGACCGAGCGCGACGAGAACAACGAGGACGGGCTSAAGGGAGAAAAGACCATGGTCTTTCTGAACAGCGTCGACGACGTGGAGGGGGTCCACCAGGCCCTGGTCCAGCGCGGCGTCGACGCGGTGTCCTACCACGCCAAGATTTCACTGAACGAGCGATCGGAGAACCTGGACCGCTTCCGGAGGTTTTCCAGCGAAAACGAGAAGGACAACGACGGCGACGCGGTGCCGGTGCTGGTGTGCACCGACCTGGCGAGCCGCGGGCTGGACGTCCCGGGGGTCACCGCCGTCGTCCAGCTGCAGTTCTCCGGAAACGTCGTCTCCCACCTGCACCGGATGGGGCGCTGCGGCCGTGCCGGCCAGCGGACCGGCCGGGGCATCGTCTTTTACGACGAGCAGGAAGCCGAGCTGGTGGACGTCGTCCGGGAGGCCGAGCACCAGCAGGAGCGGATGAAGCTGGAGGGACAGGAGGTCGACGACCGGCTCGGAGAGGGCGGCGRCAGCGAGGAGGCCGCGGCGCGAAAGGGCAAGGTCCAAAAGGCCTTTTCGAGAAAGCGCGGGTTTACCAAGAAGCGCAAGAAGCTGAGGCGCGAGGAGTCGGAGTCCTACTAGCCGGGACCAGCAGAGCAGCGCACCGCCTTGGWCCGTGCCGTAGCATCACTCTCTATCTAACTAGTAGGCTCAAACGAACAAGTAGAACTTTTTAATTTCGTGTTCTACACTTTCTGCTTCTATCTTTTTAGTATACACGACACCGCCATCGGAACGAAGACCCACCCAGGATGTGGCAAAGTGTGGGTTCCTCCAACGGATCGGAACGAAACGTGGCCGTCGCATCGATTCTTATAGTGGCACGGTGTATTTCCAACCAGAGTGTTTTGCGTTTTTCCATATAGTTTACAGCAATGGCGGTGTGGAATTCGTATGGCCTGCGCGAGCCGATTCGGCGCGACGATGCCCCCGAGCCGGGTTCGTCGGTTTGTTGTGGTGCGCTCTGCCCTCAGGCGGCGTCGGTGTCCCAGGCTTCGGGCAGCATGCCGTGCTCTACAAAGGCAGGGGGGACCTCGGTGTTGGGGACCACCCGGTAGTTCCCGCTGGCGTAGCCCGCCAGCCACAACCGGCCGCCCTCGTTGAAGATGGACTGGGTGCCCTTCACGTGGAAGTACTCGGTCGGGTGGATCTCGCTCTCGGACACCACGTACCGGACCACCGGTGCGGGCCCGTCCCCCTTGGGGGTTCCTCCCCCGGCCGGGACCCCCACAAAAACGTCGGTCCGGAACATGTCCTTGTTCCGCCCCGACTCCTCGGCCATGGCGACGATCCTGGGCCAGTCGATCCAGTCCGGGAGGGGCTCGGACTTGCCCGACCAGGCCAGGTGGGTGCCGTTTCGGTGCAGGATGGCCGCGGCCCCGTCCATCCCCGGCCTCTGGACCGCCAGCCAGACCCGGCCCCAGATGGTAAAGACCTTGAACTCGGTCCCCCCCCGGTCGTCGTCGGTTTCCCCGGTGGAGGCCTCCCACGAGGCAAAGCGCTCCTCGACGACGACCCCGGGCTTCACCCTTCGCAGGGCCAGGGACTCGGGAACCCGCCGGCCGCAGGACTCCTGGACGGTTTGCAGCCTGTCGGCCAGGTCCCCCGCCACTAGGGCCCTTCCAAAGCCGGGCATCTCGGCAAAGGGCTTTTTCCCGTGGCCGACGAGGGTGGTGTTCCCGACCGTCTTGGTCAGCCAGACACCGCCTGCGCAAGAGAGGTGGGTGGGCTTGGCGGCATAGTCCCTGCCAACCGGCAGCAGGGCCTCGAGCGAGGCCTGTTGCGCGTCCCGGCGGTGTTTCTCGCTCCGCTCGGTGTGTGCGGAAGCGTGTGCGGAAGCGTCGCCTTCGCCGAGGAGCTCCGAGCCGTACTTGAGGACAAAGGCCTCCATGCCGTCCAGGTTGTCTCGGGTGCGGAGCCACCGCTTTCGGGCGACCTTGTCGACGTAAAAGGAGAGGCTCGTGGCGTCCGCGTCCCGCCGGTAGCGGAGGAGGTCCACCCACGTTTCGTTGCCGACGATCTTGGGGGACAGGTCAAAGTCCGCAAACAGGTCAAAGACCTCGCGCGGGCCGGGTTCGGGAGCGGGCAGCGGAGAATTAGCCGGTCCGAGCCCAAAGAGGGCGAGGTCGACGCCCCCGACCGGAAAGGTGTCCAGGGTGAACTCGCTTCGCTCGAAGCGCGGGTTTTCCTCCAGCGAAAGGCGGACCCGCTCGATCGGTGGTGGCGGGGGCTCCCCCCGGCCGGCGTCGTTCGTTGGCACCCCCGGATCGAACCGCAGGGAGTGCAGGGTTGCGGCGAGGGAGGCCAGCAGTGCCGCCGCCAGAAAGGGCAGCAGCACTTTGGTAGTGCTTCGAGCCGGTGGCCGGGAGTTCATGGCGCGGTCCGTGGCTATCGAATGGTGGTTGTGGTTTTTGGCAACGGGCGAGAAATCCAATCTCTCTTCCTCTGCTGGCATGCGTGTTTCTTTCTCTTCCTAGATGCTGGGTGTTTTGCCTCTTGGGTGCCGTATATCTTTTCGAATGTCGGGACAAGAAGCACTCCTTGTATTGTACGGTATGCACTGTTCTGCCTTCCTTTTTTCTTCCGTCGTTTCGATGCCCTTTGGCTCCATGCGAAACCGTGAGCCGTTAGAGTCGTGTCCCCACGCGCGCGTTGGCAATTCCAAGTTTTTGACTCACTGGACTCGATTCCCGCTCCGCTCGTCCCTTAGGACTCATTCCTACCTATCGTACCCTAATACGTAGGTACCTGGTACCTATGTACGACACCAAAAAAATTTCCGTTTTACAGTAACCACAGGTGCCGGATCCGGGACGCAGCATAAGTACGTAATTCTTCGTCAAGTAGTACTTAACGAACTTGTACCGTACGCATGTTTGTACATATGTGGTTTTCATGAGTCAACCAATAGGAGCTTGCACTAGCGAGCACATCACATAATGGATGTCGTCGACAGGTAGGACTATTCTGAGTATTCGCTTACGTACCCGGTACCAGGTACCGTACAGTAAGAGTACAAGAATATGAAACACAGGAGAAAGTTCCAGAAGTATCATACCGGCCGGTTGGAAAAGATTCCTCCTGTTTTTGGCTCGCGCGCAACGGGCAAACCTCGAACCATTTTTTTTTCACAACCAGAAGGACCCTGCGAATTCTGAGCACACTGTTGAAAACTTCAAAGAAATCTACGTGTAACTATGAAAAGAAGAAGTCGGATGGTCCGTCGGATTGTGGTGAATTTTAGGTTTCAAAAAAAGGGGCGTATCAAATTTCATGCTTGGAATTCGGTTCCCACTTACTTAACAGGGGAAAAACTGGAGAACCGGGTGAGAAAGAGATGGCTCGCGTGCAGAGGGCACGTGCCCGGCGGAAAAAGGACAGACGTAGGGGGCACAATGTATGGTACGTACGTACTGTACTTGAGTATTGACGTACGTACAAATAAACAGGTTTCTACACGTACTGTACGTACAATACTACTGTGCAGTACTGCAATCACACAAATAGAGCTACTACGTACAGTACTACTGTGCAGCACTCCAATCACACAAATAGAGCTGCTAAAGCTAGAGCTATTGCTGGAGCTAAAGACTATACAACTAGAGCTAGAGCTAGAGCTAGTACTAGTAGAACTAAAGCCACAAGTAGAGCTGGTGGAGCTAGAGCTAAAGCTAGATCCAAAGCTAGCTCTAGTAGTAGAGCTACAGCTACAGCTAGTAGTAGAGCTTCTAGAGCTAGCTACTACTAGTGCTACTAGAGCTACTACTAGAGCTACTACTAGAGCTAGAGCTAGAGCAACTAGAGCTAGAGCTAGAGCTAGAGCTAGTAATGCTAATGCTAATGCTAATGCTAATGCTAATGCTAATGCTAATGCTAATGCTAATGCTAATGCTAATGCTAATGCTAATGCTAATGCTAATGCTAATGGTGCTAATGCTAATGCTAATGCTAATGCTAAAGCTAGAACTGTAGTGTTACTCATAGTGATAATGATAGTGATTGGGTATTGAAGCTACTAAAACTAAAGCTAGAACTAAAGCTAGAGCTATTGCTAATATTTATTAGTACAACTGTGTGAAAAATTAAAATAGTTTGAGAAAAAGAAATAGTAGTAGTTTAGCAGAAGTAAATCTAGTACTGAAATTACAACAACTACTAGTATTACTTTTTCTGCTACTTCTTCTGTTTTTCATATAGCAGTACTAGTAGTAGTAGTAGTACAACTATGTGATAAATTGAAATAGTTTGAGAAAAAGAAATACTAGTAGTTTCACAGCAGTAGTAGATCTAGTACTAAAGTTACAATAACTACTAGTATTACTTTTTCTGCTACTATTTTGTTTTTCATATAGTAGTAGTACTACTGATAGTGATACTACTGGCCGATACTGATATTGATACTGATACAGATGGCTGGAGCTGGAGCTAGAACAAGAAATAGCGCTGAGGATAGAGCTGAGCCCAAGCTAAAGCTACCTTTAGTGGTAAACTATTGCTAGAGCTACAAGATGGAGATGGAGCTTGAGTTGGAGCTGCAGCTGGAGCTGCATCTGGAGCTAGATCCATAGCTTTTGCTTATTGATATTGCTATTGTTTATTATTACAATATTGCTAGTACAGTATTGCTATTACAGTATTGCTCGCAGTTACATTATTATAATAATAAAACTAATGCTATATTGAATGATCTAACTCCTATTTTTGACAAAGTTATGGCCCTCATACTGATTTTGGTCCCTGGACAGATATTACTGCAT